ATGGTACTGTGGTGTGGCAGGTTAAGATTCTGCCTGTGGCATCCCATATGGGCACCAGTTCGTCTGGCTGCTCCTCTTCTGATCTAGCTCTCTGCAATGGCCTAGGAAAGCACCCACTTGGGAGACCTAGAAGAGGTTCTTGGCTCCTGGCTTCTCATTGGCCCAGTCCAAGCCATTTCGGTCATTTGGGGGAGTGAACCAGCAGATGGAAGACCTTTCTCTCTCTTTCCCTCTCTGTAACTCTACATCTGAAATAAATAAATAAAATCTTAAAAAAAAAAAAGGGAAATGCACTGTTTGAAGCACTGACTAGGGAATTATTTCTCTCTGGGAAAATTATGGAAAGTCAAGTATTTCAGAAGATTCCCTGGTAAATTTCAAGTCTGAGCCAGATTGTTCTGTGATTCACTTGATGAATATCATTAGGCACTGATGTGCTGATGCATTTCTTTAAAAAAAACCGGGACATGCTGGACCAGATATGCCAGTGGACTAGCTTGTCAGGGCACTTTCTCCCTCAGGCAGTCCTTGATGGACATTCTAATGTGATCTCTGTGTCCTCCTTTTTTTCCTGTGAGGTAATTTGAGGTTTACACAGAAGTGTAAGGAATGATATACTACTGTCTTATTTAAGAAGTTGTGGTCTTGTTACTCTTTCTCAGTCCCATTTTCTCCCCTCCCTCTAGAGGTGCCACTATCATGATTGTGGTACCTATCATTCCCATAAAGATTTTTATATTTACCAAATATGTGTTGACCACAGTGTCTGGTATTTTTTAATATTTATTTATTTGCAAGTCAGAGTTACACAGAGAGAGGAGAGGCAGAGAGAGAGAGGTCTTCCATCCGATGGTTCACTCTCCAATTGGTCACAATGGCCGGAGCTGCGCTGATCCAAAGGATCAGCCAGTAGCTTCTTCTGGGTCTCCCATGTGGGTGCAGGGGCCTGCTTTCCCAGGCCATAGCAGAGAGCTGGATTGGAAGTGGAACAGCCAGGTCTTGAACCGGTGCCCATATGGGATGCTGGCACTTCAGGCCAGGACGTTAACCCACTGCGCCACAGCGCTGTCCTCAGTGTCTGGTATTGTAATGTGTATTGTAGTATATAAGTGGTATCCAATATATATTGATGTTTTGCAACTTTTCCCCTCAACCTCAATATTATACTTTTGAAATTTCTTTGTGAGTACATGCCTGTGGGTCATTTAAGTGCTGCTTAGCATTGTAGTATATGGCTGTATCATAATTTATCGGTTATTCTGTTGAACTTTTAGGTTGTTAGTAATTTTTTGCTGTTATAGACTTCTGTGTGGTTGCCACATTGTTTCTTTTATTTTTTAAATTAATTAATTTATTTTTTTATTTTTTGACAGGCAGAGTGGATAGTGAGAGAGACAGAGAGAAAGGTCTTCCTTTTGCCGTTGGTTCACCCTCCAATGGCCGCCACGGCCGGCGCGCTGGGGCCGGTGCACCGCGCTGATCCGATGTCAGGAGCCAGGTACTTATCCTGGTCTCCCATGGGGTGCAAGGCCCAAGGACTTGGGCCATCCTCCACTGCACTCCCTGACCACAGCAGAGAGCTGGCCTGGAAGAGGGGCAACCGGGACAGAATCCGGTGCCCCGACAGGGACTAGAACCCGGTGCCCTGACAGGGACTAGAACCCGGTGTGCTGGTGCCGCAAGGCGGAGGATTAGCCTAGTGAGCTGCGGCGCCGGCCTACATTGTTTCTTAAATGACTATCAGTTTAGACTTGTGGTTCCTTATTCCCCAGCATTGGATATTGCCAGACTTTTAGCTCTTTGTTCTAATCTGATGAGTTTAAAATGTATTTTGCATGTATTTTAAATTCTGTTTTCCTTACCATTATTTTAAAAATGCTACTTGGCCATTCAAATTTTTACTTGGGCTAATTTTCTTTTTATAAAATTTGTCCTTTTTTCTAATTTAATTTTTCTAATTTCTTTCATACAGTCTGGCTTTTAATCATTTGTTTATAGGCATTGCAAATATTTTGTCTTAGTCTGTGCTTACCTATTTTTTGAGATTTAACTTTTGATTTACAGACATTTAGAATTTAATTATAGCAAAAGAATTTTTTTTCCTCTGTGATGTATTTCTTTTCTTTTTCTTTACGGTTCACATATTTTATTTGGAAGGCCAATGAAAGAGTGAGTGAGAGAGAGAAAGAGAGTGATCTGCCATTTGCTGGTTTACTCCCTAAATAGTTCTAGCAGCAAGGCCTAGGCCAGGCTAAAGCCAGGAGATAAGAACCCCATTCTAGTCTTCCATATAGGTTGCAGGGGCCCAAATTATTTGAGCCATCCTCCATTGCTTTCCCAGGTGCATTAATAGGGAGCTGGATCAGAAGTGGAGCAGCCGGGACTTGGACCAGTGCTTCATGGCATTGCAAGTCATAGCTTTACCCAGTGTACCACAACACTGGCCCTGTGGTATCTTCAAGTGAACATCATAAAGTTGTTTTATATTTTCTTTAAAAAACAATTGGCTTATCACAAGTTTTTAATTTATTTGATACTGATTTTTTGACATATGTTGTGAAATAGAGATATAATTTTTCTTTTCATGTGGAAAACCAATTATATTGGCATCTGTTAATTAAAAGGTTTATCTTTGGGGCCGGCATTGTGGCACAGCAGGTAAAGCTGCTGCCTGAGACACTGGCATCCCATATGGGCATTGGTTAGAGTCCTGGCTGCTCCACTTCTGACCCAGCTCCCTGCTAATGTGCCTGGGAAAGCACTGGAGGATGGACCAAGTGCTTGGACCCTTGCACCCTTGTGGGAGAAACAGAAGCTCCTGTCTCCTGGCTTTGAACCAACTTAGTCCTGGCCATTGTGGCAATTTGGGGAGTGAACCAGCAGAAAGATCTCTCTCTCTCTCTCTTTCTCTCTCTCTCATCCCTCCCTCTCTGTAACTCCTGACTTTCAAATAAATAAATATTTTTAAAGAGTTTTTTTAATTTATTTACTTGAAAGTAAGAGTTACACACAGAGAGAAGGGGAGGCAGAGAGAGGGAAAGAGAGAGAGAGAGAGGTCTTCCATCCCCTCTTTCACTCCCCAGATGGCTGCAACTGCTGGAGCTGCACCGATCTGAAGCCAGGAGCCAGGAGCCTCCTCCAGGTTTCTCACATGGGTGCAGGGGCCCAAGGACTTGTGCTATCTTCTACTGCTTTCCCAAGCCATAGCAGAGAGCTGGATTGGAAGTGGAGCAGCTGGGACTTGAACTGGCACCCATATGAGATGCTGGCACTGAAGGCAGCGGCTTTACCTGCTACGCCACAGCGCCGGCCCCTAAATAAATAAATCTTTACCAAGTTTTCATGGGTCTGTTTCTGGATGTTCCATTGCTTTAAATATGTCTCTTTAACAATTCCAGTTTGTCTTGAATAATGTAACTTTTGTAATATGTTTTGGTATGTGATGAGATGACACTGCTTCTCTTTTTTATCTTGAAAAATTTCCCGATCACTTAAAATTCCTAAAAAAATTATTTATTTGAGAGACAGAGAGAGAAAGAGGCAGATATATATAGAGAGCTACCATTTGCTGGTTCACTCCCTAGATGCCTGCAGCAGCCAAAAGGCTGAAGCTGGGAACTGGGAATTCAATCCAGGTCAGGAATCCAATAATTTGAGCCATCCATCATTACCTTCTGCCTCCCAGGGTCTACTTTAGCAGAAACTTGGAATTGGAAGTGGAGCTAAGGATTAAACCTAGGCACTCTGATATGGGACATGGGCATCCTAACCAGCATCTTAACCATTCAGTCAAATGACCACCCATCCTAGTCATTGTTTGACCCTTTGCTTTTCTATGTAGTTTTGGAATTAGTGTCTCTCAAAAAAGCCTTTAGACAACTAACTTTATTGAAGTATAATTTACATTTGATTAAATGCATTGATATTAAGTATAAAATTTTATATTTTGACAAAAATGTATGTCCATGTACCATCTTCATATGTAGGTATAGAGTAATTTCATCACTCTAGACTGTTTCCTTGTGACTTTTCAAGCCAATTCCCAGGTTCTCCCACCCCTAGTTAACTACTGCTCTGCTTTGTATTTTTTTTAAAGATTCAATCATTTATTTGAAAGAGTTACAGAGAGGTGGGAAGAGAGAGGGAGAGACATCTCTTCTATCAGCTGGTTCTCTCCCCAGATGGCCACAGTGGCTGAGGCTGGGCCAAAACCAGGAGCTTCATCTAATGTCTCCCAAGAGGGTATCAGGAAGAGAAAGAGAGAAGAGGTCTTCCATCTGTTGGTTTACTCCCCAAATAGCCACAATGTCTGGAGCTGAACTGATACAAAGCTGGGAGCCTGGAGCTTCTTCTAGGTCTCCCATGTAGGTGTAGAGGCCCAAGAACTTGGCCCATCTTCTACTGCTTTCCCAGGTCATAGCAGAGAGCAGGATTGGAAGTGGAGCAGCTGGGATTCAAACCAGCACCCATATGGGATGCTGTCAGTTTCTCTGATGAGTATTGATGTTGAGCACCTTTTCATATTCCTGTTGACTATTTGTATGCTTTCTTTGGGAAAGCATCTATTAAGGCCCTTTGCCCATTTTTGTCTTGGGTTGTTTGTGTTTTTTCCCCCCACTATTGAGCTGCTTGAGTTCCTTATATATTTTAGATATTATCCTTTGTTGGATATGTGTTTTGCAAATGTTTTTCCCATTCTGTAGGTTGCCTTTTCATGTTTCCTGTGCTGAGCAGAAACTTTTCGGTTGGATATAGTCTCGTTTAGTTTTGCTCTTGGTGCCTGTGCTTTTGGTGTCATAACCAAAAAAGTCATTGCTAAGATGAATGTCATGGCATTTCATCTATTTTTAAGATAACTGGCTTGTCTTACAGGGTTTAAAATTTTTAAAAATATATTTGAGTTGTTGTGAAGGAGAGGATCTTGGGGAATGGTTATATGGTTTGGTTTCTGACTTGACCACGTGTATGAGAAATAATATGAAGCACAAGTGAGACAAATGTCAATATTTTATTACCATTTATTTATTTTCAATTGTAATGCAATCTAATTGTTCAAACCTAGTGATTTGAAGCAAATACATTACAGTCAAACCATAGAACTGTATACAGTAATAGATACTTTTCCTTTCCATTTGGGTTTGCATGATATTTTTCTATATGAAAAAGCCAGTTAGCTATAGAAGTGGGTTGAAGTCACTGTTTTTCCCTGCTACAGCTCATCTGAAGTTTTCCAATATAGAGCAAATTATTGGAAGTAGAGTGCAAGATCTTTCTTTCTGTAACTAAGTTAAGGCCCATGTTTGGATTCATTGACCTTTAGCCAATTCATCTCTGCTCTTTAAGAAATAATGTTCCTGGATAGGAAGAAGTACCTGAAGCTCTTTTTAATGCCATTGGTTTGCTTGCTGATTAAAGATATACCCAAGAAGAGGGACTTCATGGTTCTGAAAAGAAATTTAAATTGTACTACATTCTTACTTTTAAGGCCTTCTGCCTTCTGCTACCATTCAACATGCGGCACGCTGAAATTAGGATGTATTTTGCTATAAGAGAAGTCTTTGGTTCTATGACTTGCAATGCATTCATAATTATTTTCTTTTTAGAAGTGAAAACTTAGCTTTGAAATCATTGCTGATTGAATAGTGAGCTTTCAAAAACACCTTAATCGAACCCCAAGTTCTTTAAATGTTTTACATTATTACAAATTTGGCCCTCCACACTGGTTATATATTTAACTCAATATTTCCTAACAAAGTAGCCCAAACACCCTACATTCTTTGGAAGAAACCCAATAACAAGGAATAGAATACAAGGCTTAAAAGAAAGAGAGGAACATAGAATCCATTTTTAAGAAGAAATTTCATGATTTCATGATTAATTTCTTGTTCACAATAGTTTGTTATTTTCTAAATTACTTCTTGTCTTAATTTCAATTCTGTTTATTATTTATCCCTAGAATTAGCTCCTCTGCTCTTGGACATATTCATAAAGTGGAGTGCTGCTGAGAAAAATGTGGGAACTTGAGCCTTTACTTTCCCCTTCACAATAACTTTCTCCTCTTCTCTGATAATAAGAGCCACCTTGTCTGTTGTTCTCTTTGGAAATTGACAATTTATTGATAGTATTGTACCTAGACTGTTCAAAAGAAGGTGTAAATTGTTCAAAGCCACAACCTGAAGACCTTTCTACTCGTCTATAATTGCTTCTTGGTTGCCCTTCATTGCAGTTTGAACAGGGATAGTTAGATTCCCATTTTCCTCGTGAGCCAGACATATATTGTTCACAGCTTGAATACTGACCAGTTCCAGAACCATATTGTTCTGAGCTTGAGGGACAACAACCAGACCCATATTGTTCAGAGCTATAACATTGACCAGACCCAGAAGCATATTGTCCTGAACTTGATGGATATGAGTGAGATCCATATTGTTCAGAGCTAGAACACTGGCCATATCCAGAGCTATATTGTCCTGAACTTGATGATGGACATGAATGAGACCCATATTGTTCAGAGCTAGAACACTGACCAGATCCAGAACCATACTGTTCTGAGTGTGCTGAGGGATATGAACCAGATTCATATTGCTCATAACTGTGACACTGACCTGAGCCAGATGCGTGTCGGCCATGGTTAGAATAATGACCTGAGAAAGACCCATGTTGGCCGTAACTTGTGGACTGACCTGAAGGAGTTCCATATTGGCTGTTGCTAGAAGATTGACCTGTTCCAGAACTGTATCCACCATAACTAGAAGACTGACTTGAACCAGACCCATGCTGACCATAGCTGGAAGACTGACCTAAGCCAGATTCATGTTGGCTAAAGCCAGAAGACTCTCCAGAACCAGACTCATGTTGCCCAAAGCCAGAAGAGTGACCTGAGCCAGCAGACCTGTGTTGACTGTGGCTAGAAAAATGACTTGGTCCACTTCCATGTTGGCCGTACCTAGAAGACTGACCTAATCCAGAGCCTTGTTGGCTGTGGCTAGAAGACTGGCCTGATGCAGACCTGTGTTGGCCAAAGCTAGAAGACTGACTTGAGGAAGACCCATGCTGACCATAGCCAGAAGACTGACCTGAGCTAGATCCCTGTTGTCCACAGCATGATGACTGTCCTGATGTGGAACCATGTTGTCCATAGGTCGAGGATTGGCCCAAGCCAGATCCTTGTTGACTGGAGCCAGAAGAGTGAGCGGATCTAGACCCACGTTGGCCATACCTTGAAGACTGACCTAATCCAGAGCCTTGTTGGCTGTGGCTAGAAGACTGACTTGAGCCAGACCTATGTCGGCCAAAGCTAGAAGACTGACTTGAGGAAGACCCATGCTGACCATAGCCAGAAGGCTGACCTGATCCATAGTGATGTTGGCTGTAGCTAGAAGACTGACTTGAACCAGACCCATGCTGACCATAGCTGGAAGACTGACCTAAGCCAGATTCATGTTGGCTAAAGCCAGAAGACTCTCCAGAACCAGACTCATGTTGCCCAAAGCCAGAAGAGTGACCTGAGCCAGCAGACCTGTGTTGAGTGTGGCTAGAAAAATGACTTGGTCCACTTCCATGTTGGCCGTACCTAGAAGACTGACCTAATCCAGAGCCTTGTTGGCTGTGGCTAGAAGACTGGCCTGATGCAGACCCGTGTTGGCCAAAGCTAGAAGACTGACTTGAGGAAGACCCATGCTGACCATAGCCAGAAGACTGACCTGAGCTAGATCCCTGTTGTCCACAGCATGATGACTGTCCTGATGTGGAACCATGTTGTCCATAGGTCGAGGATTGGCCCAAGCCAGATCCTTGTTGACTGGAGCCAGAAAACTGTCCTGATCCAGACTCATGTTGCCCAAAGCCAGAAGACTGACCTGATCCAGACGGATGTCGGCTGTGGCTAGAAGACTGACTTGAGCCAGACCCATGCTGACCATAGCTAGGAGACTGACCTAATCCAGATTCATGTTGGCTAAAGCCAGAAGACTCTCCAGAACTAGACTCATGTTGCCCAAAGCCAGACCCACGTTGGCCATACCTTGAAGACTGACCTAATCCAGAGCGATGTTGGCTGTGGCTAGAAGACTGACTTGAGCAAGACCCCCCTTGCTGAGTATAGTTGGAGGACTGACCTGAGCTAGATTCATGTTGGCCACAGCTGGACGAGTGTCCTGATGTAGAGCCATGTTGGCCATAGCTGGAAGACTGACCTAAGCCAGATTCATGCTGACTGAAACCAGAAGATTCTCTTGAGCCAGACCCGTGTTGCCTCTGTCTAGAAGACTGGCCTGATGCAGACCCGTGTTGGCCAAAGCTAGAAGACTGACATGAGGAAGACCCATGCTGACCATAGCCAGAAGACTGACCTGAGCTAGATCCCTGTTGTCCACAGCATGACGACTGTCCTGATGTGGAACCATGTTGTCCATAGGTCGAGGATTGGCCCAAGCCAGATCCTTGTTGACTGGAGCCAGAAGAGTGAGTGGATCTAGACCCATGTTGGCCATACCTTGAAGACTGACCTAATCCAGAGCCTTGTTGACTGTGGCTAGAAGACTGACTTGAGCCAGACCTATGTCGGCCAAAGCTAGAAGACTGACTTGAGGAAGACCCATGCTGACCATAGCCAGAAGGCTGACCTGATCCATAGTGATGTTGGCTGTAGCTAGAAGACTGACTTGAACCAGACCCATGCTGACCATAGCTGGAAGACTGACCTAAGCCAGATTCATGTTGGCTAAAGCCAGAAGACTCTCCAGAACCAGACTCATGTTGCCCAAAGCCAGAAGAGTGACCTGAGCCAGCAGACCTGTGTTGACTGTGGCTAGAAAAATGACTTGGTCCACTTCCATGTTGGCCGTACCTAGAAGACTGACCTAATCCAGAGCCTTGTTGGCTGTGGCTAGAAGACTGGCCTGATGCAGACCCGTGTTGGCCAAAGCTAGAAGACTGACTTGAGGAAGACCCATGCTGACCATAGCCAGAAGACTGACCTGAGCTAGATCCCTGTTGTCCACAGCATGATGACTGTCCTGATGTGGAACCATGTTGTCCATAGGTCGAGGATTGGCCCAAGCCAGATCCTTGTTGACTGGAGCCAGAAAACTGTCCTGATCCAGACTCATGTTGCCCAAAGCCAGAAGACTGACCTGATCCAGACGGATGTCGGCTGTGGCTAGAAGACTGACTTGAGCCAGACCCATGCTGACCATAGCTAGGAGACTGACCTAATCCAGATTCATGTTGGCTAAAGCCAGAAGACTCTCTAGAACTAGACTCATGTTGCTCAAAGCCTGAGCCAGAGCCATGTTTGCTGTGGCTAGAAGAATGTCTGGAACCAGACTCATGTTGTCCAAACCTTGAAGGGTAACTTGAGACAGACTCATGGTGACCATAGTTAGAGGACTGACCTGAGCTACATCCATGTTGTGCACAGCTTGATGTCTTTTCTGAAGTAGTTTGGGATGACTGCCCTGAGGTAGAACTATTTGTACCCTGACTAGAAGGTTGACTTAATCCGTAGCCTGGTTGACCACAGTTAGAAGATTGTCCTGAATTTGACCTGTGTTGGTCATAACTAGACTGACCTGATCCAGTCCTTTGTTGTCCAAAACCAGAGGACTGGCCTGAAGAAGTATGTTTTTCATAGGTTGATGATTGACCATTTCCAAAATGATGTTGTTCATATCCTGATGACTGACCTAAGCCAGATCCTTGCTGACCAAAGCCAGAAGACTGTCCTGAGCTACAACCATATCCAAAACCAGAATATTGGCCTGATTCAGATCCATATCTTGAAGACTGTCCTTCACCTGAACCATGTTGGCCATAACTAGGTGACTGACCTGAACCAGTCCTATGTTGACCATGGTTCAAAGATTGACCCAATCCAGACCCTTGTTGGCTAGACATTGAGGTCTCACCAGATGAAGATTCATGCTGTCCACATGATGGAATAGACCCCTGGTGACCAAAGGCACAAGACTGTCCTGTTCCTGATCCATGCTTTTGTCTTCCGTAGCTTCCTGACTGATGGCTTGAGCTGCTGCTTTGTTTTCTTTGAGTGGAGGACTGAAAAGAGCTTGACTGATTTTTGCCACTGCTTATGGACCTGCGTGATTCAGACCCATATGCTTCATAGTTTGATGAATGTCTTCGTTCAGAACCATGGTTTTGTTGTTGACTACATCCAGATTGACCACTTGAACTGGATCTAGGTTGCCTTTGACTAGAAGAATTACTAGAATTGGAACTATGCTTTCCATAGTGTGATGAGTGACCCAAACCAGACCCATATTGTTCAAAACTTGAGGACTCGCCTGATCCAGATCCCTCATTTTGCTTTCCCCAGTTCCCTGATTGACCACTTGAATTGGATCCATGTCTTCTTTGACTGGAGGACTGTCCTGAGTTTGACCTATGTTTTGCATAACTGGAGGGCTCACTTGAACTAGAACAGTATCCTTGTTCTTCACAGTTTCCTGATTGATATCTGGTATTTGTTTCATGCCTTATCTGTGGATAGGGCTGGCCTGCACCAGACTCATGGCCACAGCAAGTGGGTTCATTTGAATTTGACTTGTGGTCTTGTCCTCCACTACTCCCTGGGCAGAATCCATGATGTTGCCCATTAAGGGACTGGTCTGACTTCTTTTTATTTCGTCTGTTTCCTGTTGACTCATCTGAGTCAGACCAGTGTTGGTCAGAACTGAAAGATTGATTCTCAGAGTGGTAATCATGCCCTTGTTCTCCACGGCTTTCAGACTGGTTTGCTGAGTTTGATCTTTGTCTGCCATTTCTTGAATGAGAATAACCAATTTCTTCACTCTCAGATCTATCTTGCTGATGAGAGCCATGCTTATTTTTCTCACTATCCTTGAAGTGGCCTAAACTTGACTCTGTCCTTTCCTCAGAGCTTTGCCTGTGTCCAGAGCTAGACAAACCTCTTTGATGCCCCCGTTTTCTGGAGTTGGATCTAAGTTTGTGTTTATTGCTTCCTCTGGAGCTCCTGGAATAGGAGTCCTGCTCTCCTGCACTTGAACTTGAATATCTGGAAGAGGATTCTCTCCCTTTGTCTTCCTCTCCCTCTGTTTCATTCTGTTCCTCTTGGTGATGGTGACTGTAATCTCTTTGCTTTGACCCTGAAGCTTTGCAGTAATCCTTGCCAATGATTTTATTACAAGCCTGAGCGAGCTTGAATATCATCAGAAGATACTCAGTAAAATTGACTTTCTTGTTATGATCTCGATCCAGGCTTTGCATGATGTTATCTACAGTGTCTGGATCATCTGGATTCTGTATAGGAACCAAGCAAAAAGACAAGCAATCTCTGTCAGTAAGGACTATACATCCAGGTAACCACGTGATGGAAGTGGAAATGTAAATGTTTGACATATTTTGGTGGAGCTCAATCACATAGTTCCTTAGGCTGAATTGCCCTGTCCTGAGCAGAGAGAAAGGAATATGTAATCAGTAATTCAGTGATACATAGCTATGGGGGGATACAACTGGAAGATGAAGGGGAAAAAGGGGACTGTTTTTGGGGGGAGGGGAAAAGAATGTCAAGTATGAATTATCTAACTTATAAATAATTTGGGTACCTGCATTAATTATATATGACATGTATTTGTCCAGTTTAACTAGTTAATTAATTTATTTGAAAAGATTTATTGAGTACCTGGTCTCTTCTTAGCATTGTATTATATGAGGGGATAAAGCAGTGAACAAATTCTGTTCCTGACAAAATGAAATTTAATGTTACTGAGTTGGAAACAGAAAATTATAATTTATTGTGATAAGGTTTCTATGTGTACATTGGAAGGAAACCACTGGCTGTCCAAGAAAGGTTAATAAGAAGATATAATGTCTTTTGAAGGATGGATTCGAATTAGTGAAATGAAGGAGTAAGAAGGGAAATAAAAGAGGCAAAGGAGTGTTGCAGGCAGAGAGAATTTTATAAATAAGAAGCTAAAAATGAAAAAAGACATGGCTTATCCAAGAACCTGAAAGAAATTCAGAATTGCTAGATCTGGAGTCTAAGAGTTAAGAGATATGGCTGAAAAGATAATTAGGGACCAGAAAATGACTTTTAAGTCATTTTAAGGAATTTTTAACTTTGTCATAAGAGAAGATGGAGCTGTTAAAGGATTTTGAGCAGCTAATGCTGAGACTGGAATAGGCGGTGGCCTGAACCAGAGGACTAATCTTGGAGAAAAATGGGATATTTTAAGAGTCAAGTGATGCACTAGATGGAAGTTGGAAGGTGGTGGTGCCTGCTAAGAGAGAGGACTTCAGTATTGGTGCCATGATTCTGCCTTGGGAGAAGATAGTGAGATTTATATCTGACTCACTGGATTTAAGACACTGACAGGAATCCAAGTAATACTCAGTTGGTAGTTGAATTTAAGGAGTTGAAGCTCAAGAGCTATATTTAAGCTCCCAAATATTTTTCCTAGAGCTAACAATTTTAAGGTAGTAATCACTTTCTTTTGTTGGGGGTGGGTAAGTCAATTTCCTGAATTCAGAGACCTTAAAGTACTAGAATCTCAGAAATGGGCAGTGGGGTGGGACATTCTGGACTGAAAAAAGACAAAGAAGATGATTTTATCTACTTTGCCATCTTTCTGAAGATCTTGTCATTTCTGTTCCATAAGAATTGCTTATATAGATAGAACATTTTTTAATCCATGGAGTCTTTTGTTTAGTATCATTTAGTATCATTATGTTTAGGATCATTTATCTTGGTCATGCTATGGAAACTGTTGTGGTCAGCTTTTCACTGTATTTACCAAACCCTATTGTATCTGACTAAGTAAGGATACTTCTCTAGGATGTTTGACATATACAATAAAAAGGTAGGAAGGAGCAAAGAGAATTGTTGCAGAATTAGTCCTGGCATTGAGTTCTTACCTTCAGAATTTGGTGAAATTCATTTTCCAAAAGTTCTTTCAGCTCTGTCTTGCTCAACATGTCACACTCCCCATTCTGGATGGCATATTGGTAGAAAACATCAATGGTAGTGATAATACTTTGTAGGAGTTTAGACATCTTTCTGAAAATTTAACCTAAAGGGGGAGAAAAGAGAGACCCACCTCTGATTATTCATTTTTTTGCTTAAATACCTATATAGTTCCAGTAATTTGTGACAATTGTTCAGAATTAATCAGCCATGATTAATTTCATCCTGTTGTAATCAAGGACCAATTCAGAGTTGAATGACTTGTTCAAACCATGTAGTAAGAGAGTGATGAAAATTAGGAACAATGCATCTCTCTCATTTCCATTTCTGAACGAACACAGAAGCAACAACTTTGTGTTTTGGGCTCCCTGCCTCTAACAGGGATATTTTTATGAACTTTGTTCTGGAGCCCTAGAAATGTGAAGTGTGCCAATCCTTCCATTCCCTCAGTTCCTCCCAAGTTCCCAGTTACCCCGCCATGGGGGAATTCCCATTATCTGCATGGCATACATGACTCCAGCTAAGGAGCAGTAGTGACTAAACTGGACCCTCTAGACTTCTAGGCTAGAGAAAGTGGACAAAGTGAGCAAAGCCAACAATAAGCCTAGGTGATAGAATTTGATGAAACTCATTTTCCAAAAGTTCTTTCAGCTCTGTCTTGCTCAACATGTCACACTCCCCATTCTGGATGGCATATTGGTAGAAAACATCAATGGTAGTGATAATACTTTGTAGGAGTTTAGACATCTTTCTGAAAATTTAACCTAAAGGGGGAGAAAAGAGAGACCCTCTTTTCTCCTGCCTCTATATTCAGCTTCTGTTTCCATTCTTCAGGCAGAGATTGACTCTCAGGCTGTATAGGTTAAAAACAGAGAGAGACAGAAAGCTCTGTAGTAAGGGAGACAATATGCCTAGTAGATAATTAGATTTCCATGATCTTCAGGAAGTGACCCTAAGGAAAGCAGGTACTATACATAATCCAATCATTGCTTCATTTTCTTTCTTAAGTTACAATTATATATAAAAATATAAATATATATAAAATCTTCTAAAATTATATATAAAATCTTCTAAAATGAACTTCTAGTGTTAAGTTCTCCAAGTCATGTACATAGTAAAAATAGAAACAAAGTCCCTCAAAGTACACAGAAAATAAGCCTGATATCCAGTGCCTCTTGGCCTTAGGTCACATTCTGGACTTCATAATTTATATCCTTAAGTACCCATGGAGTGGAGCTGAGCCCCTGCTTACTCACCTAGTTCACCAGAGGAACAGTAGTATAGAGTCTGAAGCAGCTTGCAGGGTGCTTCTATTTGGGGAGGATGGCCTTTTTATAGAGGGAATAATGGTTCATCTTAGGGAGGAGCTGCTGTTTTAGATGTCCTAATTCACTCCTAAACAAGTCCTTCTCCTTCTCCATCTCCACCTCCCAGATGTTTACCTTCTCACTTCCTTACATGTTCACCTGAGATTGCATTAGCAATTCCCAAATCTGGGCTGGTATCAGCTCCACCTGCTAGTCTTAGTTCACTTTGCAGAAAGGCTTCTTCATGCATTCACTGAACTATCTTCTGTCTAGCACAATACATTGGCAGAAAATTGTGTGCAATTTCATACAATCAAATGTAGTGTGTACATGGACATCGGGACACAGATTTAAAAGAATCTTGATATTTGATGTTTAGAAGGGACATTACAGATTATCCAAATTCTCTCATTCTAGGTTAAATATTCTTATACAGGGGGCCGGTGCTGTGGCACAGCAGGTTAAAGCCCTGGCCTACAGCGCTGGTATCCCATATGGGTGCTGGTTCGAGACCAGGCTGCTCCACTTCTGGTCCAACTCCCTGTTAATGTGCCTGGGAAAGCAATGGAATATGGCCCAAGTCCTTGGGCCCCTGCACCCACATGGGAGACCTGGAAGAAGCTTCTGGCTTTAGATTGGCTCAGCTCTGGCCATTGTGGCCATTTGGGGAGTGAATCAGGAGATGTAAGACCTCTCTCTTTCTCTCTCTCTCTACCTCTTTCTGTATCTATGTCTTTCAAATAAATAAGGCAATTTTTCTTATTCACAATCCCAGCCAAGATGTCATTTAATATAGTGTTATTTCCTTGTGGGATGGATAAAGGCTGCAGAGGCTCCCTTTCACCTCTTTACCTACCCATTCTAGAACTTAGTGGCCATTTGTTGAAGTAGCTTTAATTTCAACCACCATATAACCTTAGGAAGAAGTGTGTGCTCTGTCACATCATTTGCAGAGTTCTTCATGATCTGGGCTGGCTTCTCTCCAGTTCCTTTTGTTCACTTTTGTTCCATGGATAATTAACTACTTCAGCCTTCCTGATTGTACTATGACATTTCATATGTTTTCTGGAAATACTTCTCATTATCTGTCTTATCAGTAAATTACTCCCTTCCTTTGCCCTTCGATAGGGAATATTTCTTGAGTTGCTTAGGTATGCTAATTTTTATATCTTGTTCACTACATTATAATATTTTAAAATGGTTTTACTATGAAATTAATGTCTAATATAAAAAATTAGAGAATATAGATAAGCAAAGAAAAAAAATCAAAATATCTCTGAACTCACTAGCCAGAAATACCTGCTGCTAATTATTTGGTTTACATCCTTTCATATACCCAGTGGTACATATTTGTGCTGTGTCATTTCTACACTATGAGCTCCTTGAGAGTAGGGAATAGGCATTCCATATTTATCTCTTGTTCCTTGGAGATCCAGTATATTGTTTGGTACATGAAGTTTGAATTGAACTGAAAGAGGAGTCCTTTACAGTCCTCTGCATTGACCAACTATCATTTTTTTTTTCACATAGGGCTAGGGTCTGCCCTCTCTCTCACTATCTGTGCCTCAGAGGATATGATTGCACTAGAAATGAATGGAATCTTAGCACTGGACTCAGTGAGTAGCCTTCTTGGGCTCTCACTCAGCATTTTATTCATTGTGAACATATAATATAGATTTCAATGGAAATCTGTGAAGTTACATAGACTTAAGACTTGTGCAATATGGCCATCAGAAGGAGTGGTAGCAACTATTGGTAAATGATAAATTACATGATTCAAAATTTAAACATTTCTATGTGATGTGTTTTCTTCTAAGAAGTACCCAAAGGCCTGCAGAGTCAGTTTCCACTTAATGACGTTGTTTCCCCTGGATGCCTGATTTGGGCTGTGTTGTTGTGCTTCGTCAGAGCAGTGATCCTTTTCAAGGTGTAACTGACACTGGGAATGAAGGAGAGGTGGAATTTGCTGAGTGAAGACTTAATTCCTGCTGGAGCCAGCTGCTGTCACAGAGGGAGGGAACAGTTACTGGTAAAGACTATTCCAGGTAGACATGCTCTTGAGGCCAGTGTTCTCCCAAACTAAGAGCAGCAAACTTTTTCTGTAGAGGAGTAGATAGCAAATAATATAGGCTTTACATACTAGGAGATCTCTGGTGCAGGTACACAGCTCTGCTATTGTAGCATGAAGGTAACCTTGGATGATATATAAAGAAATGAGCATGGCTGTGTTTCAATAACTTATTTATTGACATTAATCTTTAAATTTTTTATAATTTCACATGCCATATATTTATTTTAAATACCTCCAAATATAAAAAGGCTTATTACTTGTGGGTCATTCAAAAATGGATCATGAACTAGATATGGCCTATGAGATGTGGTTTACCACATCATATTCCTTGTCTGTATATGCTTTTCAGGAAGATCCTTGAGGAGAGGAGAATCTAAAAGAAAGACTGGAAATGCAGTGAGCTCTTTGTGAAGTAACTGAATTTATTATCAAAAGTATTATAGGCACTTTCATGTATTATGTAAACAATATTATACCACTTAAAAAAACAATCACTTCAGTCCTTTATTTTCTGCAAATCCCCCCTAAGCAAAATTTTCTCAAGCTTTATTTCCTGGTTTGTGTCATGGAAATGAGAGGCATGTTGAGTATGCATTTGATTTCTTTCCCTATTGAGAATTACTAGTATAAGTGTTAGTTATTGCAAAAGTCCTTTCTAAAACTGAGATTCATGATTTTACTGTAGCGTGTACTCTACAGTAACAGAGCTGAACGTCAAGATTCCCTCATTGTACATTTGGCTAGTGTGTTTTCCCCTTGGAGACGATAGAATTCAGGAGAAAATATTTCTAATGTTATGTGTTATGCCATACTCTAAGTTTTTCAGGGCTTCTCTCCGTTTATTAGCAGAAGAAAGGAAATGCATTCTCCTTTCAGCAAGCAGAGTGCTCCATTTCATTTCATTAATCCCACTACCTCAGGACCAGTAGGTATTGTTATTATCCCTGCTTTGCAGATGAGAAAACTGAGTCTCAGAAAATTCACATGTAACTTGTGCCAGATCACTTGTTGTTACGTGGAAAAGATAAGATTAAAACTCAAATTTGCTTCTTCTTAGGAATATCCAGTGAGTATGGGACTGTTCATGTCTTGGAAAAGCAGAGTTTTACAGATAGTTCTTGAGGAATGGAGTGTTTTACTTTAAAACAAAATAGGGGTTGGTGTCTGGTGTAGCTATTAAGACACCACTTGGGTTTCCTGCTTCTTGTATCAAAGTGCCTGACTTTAATTCTGGCTCTGCTTGCAATTCTAGATTTTTGCTGATGCACACTTTGGGAGGCAGCAGGTGACGGCTCAAGTAGTTGATTCCTTGCCACTCATATGGGAGACTTGAATTGAGTTCCCTAATCCTGGAGTTGATCACAGGTCTTTTAGGCATTTGGAGAGTGAACCAGAGGATGGAAGATCTTTGTTTCTGTCTCTTTGCCTTTCAAATAAAATGAAAATAAATTAATAAAACTGTTGTACAAACTTTCTTGCCTGTCTGAAAGGTAGAGTGATGTGCCTATAGCACCATCTGCTGGGTCGTAGGGAAATTTGACAGAAAGTCATTTTCTCCTTGCCCTTTCTGTCCATTTCTCTCATTTCTTGCATATAATTTCTGACAGTTTTTTTTTCACTTAGTCTCTATGAATGAGGAAAATATATAAAAAGTGAGGATTTGCCTATCATCTATCTGTATATCTAACAGAGAGTATTGGTGGCCATAATTAGAGGATAATGTATATTTGTTCTCAGCATATGCACATGGTGTAAATTTAAATTTTAATATTATATAATCATTTTGTTGTTTGTGGTTCAGTGGAGTGCTAAATATGAAAGGTCAAGTTGTGAAATGTCTGCCAAATTTTATGTCACACATGACTCTGGTAGAGATGCATTGGGTTTTACAGCATCGTCTGATTACTATGATTGATGGCAATACCCTTGAATTTATAGACAGGACATCTAAGGATTTGGTTTCAGAAAAATCAACTGTGTACGAATTGTCAGTAAAAATTCACGCATACAGTACCTTCTGTTCTATTACTACATTATAAATAGTAAGATTGGAAACTGATTCAAAAGGCAGAGAACTAAGGATGGAACTTTGGAGCACAAAAATGTGTAAGTATAGGCCATGGAAGAGGAGCTCTCAAAAACCCCTGACACACAATAGGAAGATAAAACTACCAAGGTTTGAAGAGTAGAAGGAAAACTAAGGAGTCAGAAGCAGAGATCCTCATGGCAGGACCCTTAATTTTTCTCCTGTGCTAGATCCTGAGTATCTATGTGTGGACTCACATTGTCTATAAGTAACCCTCTCATCTTGAGGATACAATGAGAATCCCCACCTACTGAATATCTGTAAGTGAATTCAAATGGATTTCTTGAACTGAACTGACACCATTGGGGAATTGATTCTGACCATCTCTTTAATCTTCTGATTGTCCTCCACCGTCACTGACATGACCATACTCAATCCCTGATGTTTTCCTTTTGTGGATCCAGTCTGTATGAATGATGATTGCCTCTGAGATGACCCACGTTGTCCATAAATAGACTCACATTTTTCTTTTGTCTTGGACACAGGAGATTCTCTTCAGGTAAACTCAGTTTGCTTGTGAGTAAGTGACCCTCTCTGATTGAACCCTGGCTTGTCTCTTGATTGCCCATTATTGGAGTCATCTCCTACTCTTGTGCTAGAGCTGACTCCTTTTGATACTCAGACTCTGAAGATGTTCAGACTTAACATGGGAAGGAGAAAATTACCTTCTGATTGTCCTTCACTCTTCCGTGAGCTGACTTTAACTGGATTCTCCTTGTCTGCTTATACTGAATGCAATCTGTGTAAACGATTATTGTATATGAGTAGGTCTTGAGTGTCCACAGCTGTCTCTTGTTTGTCTATGACTAAATGATGTATTTTTGTGCTGGATCTTGGCTGTCTATGGCTGCTAGGTAAAGACTGCCTTCTAGTGTGTTGTCTGTCCTTGATAAGATTCTGAGTT